GTGCGGAGGAGGGGGAGCAGGGTGGGCAGGAGGCGGCGTCGGAACGGGCGGTGGAGAGGGCGTCGCGGGCGTGGCGGTGGAAGTAGCGGAGGGCGTGTGGGAGGATGTCTGCGATGGTGTTAACGTTGCGGCGTTAGAGGAGAGATGTCTATCGCCGGTCGAAAACATTATGACTTTACCGGGATACTGTTCGACATTCATCAATCTGTAGTACAATTCGCGGTCTGAAATATCCTCATATTTTGCCAGCGACGCTTCAGTAAATTCATCTGCAATAGAGAGTGATTGTGTTGGTTAGATTCAAGAACGGTCGATGAATGAAGTTGATGGTGGGAGTGCGGGGTGAAATGGGTGGTGAAGTAAATTAGATGCCAGGGGGGTAAACCCCCCCTGAACCCCCCTTCGGATTTGCTTCGCAAATCCACTTCCGCAAGGGGGATAAACCCTACTGCACCCCCCGAGGCCACCTTGGGGTTAAACTCGAGGCTCTTCGCCATTCGCTCGCCCTCGAGTCTAACCCTAAGGTGGCAGCGCATCGGTTCGCTCGCGCCCATTACCTTCAAGTCTCTTCAACTCCTCACAATCAGCGACTCCGCCGCCTCTCTCCAACAACGTCTCTCCTCTCCCACCACCACCACCACCACCAGTCGTACTTCCGTTACTTGTGCCAGACGAGAACCCAGAATCCGAGTCTGTATCCGAATCCAAGAACGACGAGGACGTATCTTTGTCTTTGGTTGTTGTTGTTGTTGACAGGCCAGCCATGCGTTGCAAGATATCCGCCAGCATGATTGATTTCTTTTTTGATGCGTAAATGAATGAATGAATGGATTGTTTACAGGAGGTTGAGTGTGGGGTAAGGAGTTAATTACGAAGGTGTGGTTGGTTGGTTGGTTGGTTGACAAGTGTGGGGTAAGAGCGTATTGGATGATGAACTGAATGGGATTTGACGGCAAGTTGATAAGAAAGAGGACAGTTCAAAAGGAAGACAGGAAGTATGCAGCGGCCCGCCCTCTTTTTATCAACTGCCGTAACTCACAAACTCACCAACCTAGCCCGATTTTATTGTTACCAGGTTTGGGGAAGCGATGCGTAATGCGCTTTCGTTGCGATCGTACCAGACCAGTATAATTGTATCTAGACTAGCAATCATGCGATCCGCTGTGACGACGATCCCTTTGAGCCCTTTTTATAAAAAGACCATAAAGGACAACGTGACCATGCAATCCCCCCGCGTGGATCTTGAAAAACAAAAGCAAAAAAGACAAGATGGAAAAATAGAACACTTCCCGGACGAAAGACGCGTCGTGATGTCATCCATCATAAGACACCCCATCTGAGACATTGGGTATCCAGTAATCCGAACACAGCTTGAAACTGAAACATACGTTCTGGTATCTTCTTGGCGACTTCGATACGCAAAGAAAAAAATGCGTCTGAGAATTACTTACACAAGCGTACAGTAATCAATCACCAGATGCGGCCACCTTCGGACTTGCCATTTTCACTGTGCGCACTTAAAAAGGTAGGAGGAAGGTAGCTTCATAAAAACAAAGTACCCACACAATCGACGCGCTTCCGCATAATATGGTTCATCGCGGGTGGGAAAAAGAATGCAAAATCAGGGGTCAGAACACGACTGGCGGGTCCTTATTCTGGGTGGATTGCCTCCTGGGTGGATCGAACACCCGGCCTTCTGCTTACGAGGCAGACGCACTACCACTGTGCTAAAGAGGCGGGGATGATGGATGTACGGGTGCGAGAGGGACTTGGGGGTAAAATGACTGCGCTTGCATTTTCATTTGAGTGTCCCGTCGTTCTTCGTGATTCGCCGTAATGATGTCCGTGGATGGACTGCGGGCCACCTGAATCCCTCAAATCAACGCCTTTCAAATTATCCGTTTGTCGGTGTTTAGTTGTTCTCCATTGTGCACCGCCCTCCCAGTTGACTTTGGATTAAAACCTCATGCATCGTCCCAGAATAGTATCGCCATGTCTTCAAAAGCTTCCTGCAAGGTTTTTTTGCTGTTCTTTTGCGTTTGCGTAAGTGGCGTTCCAGTGATCATCATCCCCTTGTAACGTCTACAGTTGCAGAACATTCCCTCAGTTGTTTGCACCTGTGACAGTGCGGTGCAGATGTGAACTGTGATGTGGTGTCCGGCAAATCACGCAATTTCGGGACCTCGTAGGAGCTGGAGCAGACGCAATGGATGTCTTTTTTCGTCCCCTGTCTCAATATCGTCCTAGCACCTGGATCGCATCGCATCCTCAGTTGACTTAAATACATTCCTGAATGAACCCAGCTCGCGGTGGAAGGACGCAGTTCCGCCTACGGGTATTTGGGACGGGCCTCTGTGTACATTCTTTTTGCGTTCGACTCTTGCGTATCGGATTTGGCGTTTAACCTGAATCGCTTCATTCATCCTCCTATGATTTGGTACAGCGTTGCCCTGTGGACGTAAATACACTCCTGAATGAAACCAATCCGGTGGGTGGAAGGACACGGTTCGGCACACCGCGAATCTGCAGCTATAAGTGGGTTTTTCTTTTTTGCTGCGTTCGATTCCTTTTGTCCGTTTCGCGTTTTCCCGTACAGAACATCTCCTCCTTCGACTACCCACCGGTGTGGTGGAGGAGTGAACTTTGCTGTGTCGTCGCTATTTTGGGACCCCATAGCAGCACCAATTGTGTTGAACATCTTTTTTTTACGTCTGTTGGCATTTTGAATCCGGCCGGACGACCTGGATCACATTTTCGTCGTGCCAGAAATCCATCCGCCTTACCCGCAGCCTGTGAGATGTAAATCGCCCAAGAATGTCATTAGCCGATGGTGAAGAGTTCCACCTTTTGGTAATAATGAGAAATTTGGGGTATGTCCTGTTTCTATTTTTTTTTGTGTTCGACTCTTTTCGTCCCTTTCGCGATCTTTGTCGTTCGTTTCAGTCCAATTCTACGTGGAGGACGTCGGTGGGATCAAGTCACGGGATTTAGAATAGTTACTGTCCTTGCCTAGTGTTTGAATACGTTCTGGACGATGCGCAGTGCCCGCCCCGGGTTCGCGGTTATTCGGATTCATTCCGATTTTCGCTTTCATTTGGGCCATCGTTAGTCTCTTCACCTCATCACCTGGTGCGATGCGGTCAAGAAGGTGATGTCTGGCAAATCACGCATTTTCGGGACCTTGTAAAAGCCAAAGCACACCAGTTCACAAGTTTTTTTCCGTCCAACGCCTGTGTGCATTTTGGATTTGGCGTAGGCCCTTCTTTTGTAGTCCCATGAGTTGGTGCAGATGCAAATACATTCCTGAATGAAAGCAATCCGGTGGTGGAAGAATGCAGTTCCGCTTACCGGTATCCTGGACAGCGTATTTCATATTTTTTTGCTTTCGCCTCTGCGGTTTGGACTCGGCGTACAACCGAATCGCTTCTTCCGTCATACCATAAATCCGTACATCCTTTGCCCTGTGGACGTGAATATACTCCTGAAACAAACCAATCCGACGCTGGAACGATGCAGTTCCGCGAAACCGCGAATAGGCAGCCTTGTGTGGGTTTTGTTTTTTACTGCGTTCGACTTTTTCAGTCCATTTTTGCTCCTTTGTCCTTCGACCTCCCTCCCAGATCCAGGGACGGTGTCCATGGGTTCAAACAACGGGATTTATGGTAGTTTACCCCACCTGCCCAGCGGTTAGCAGGTGTGGTACACCTTGCCCCGTAGACATCAATACACTCCTGACGGAAACCAATCCGATGGTGGAAGGACGCATTTCCGCATACCGGGATTAAACTTTATGAATTTTGTCTTTTTTTGTGCGTTTCATTCATTCCGTCCGTTCGCGATTTTGGGCGTTCGTAGTTCGACATCGCTCCCGGGTGTTAAGGTAAATCACGGGATTTATGGTAGCCAAGCTTAGCACCTTCTTGATGATGCGTAGTCTTGCCTGCCCGCACATGCGCCGTGCTATCCAAATCACGCAATGAACGGAAGTGAAACAGACGACATTGGCTTTTGTATTGTAGTTGTTGTTACTGCAAGTGTCAGAAAACGGTCGCAAAGTTGCGGTTTCGGGGCGGCGTCGCCGAGTGAGTAGCGTCGTAAAACAGTAGGTCTTTTTATGTGTTTTAATGTGCACCCCGTATTCGGCCTACACGCTGCATCCTGCTGTCATCATTCCATCAATTGATGCAAGTTTGTGCTGTTGGGTGTTGACGTACATTCAATGAAACCCATCCAATCGCGGAAGGACGCATTTCCGCATTCTATATGTCGTGGTGGAGCCGAAAGTTCTTTTTTGCATTTTTTGTGCCGCCGCGCTTTGTCGCGATTTCGTCTTTTGACATCACCCCACGCTACGTGGACCGACGTCCGTCGGTGGGGCCGTCGTTATCGTAGTTTACCATCCACGCCTAGTGGTTGGTGACCTTTTGATGATGCGCAGTGCTTGGCCAGGGGTTCGTGGTCACTTCTTCCATCGTGCTACGAATCCATATGCTTGCCCTCAACCTGTCTGATGTAAATTGGGCCAACGCAAGCTACTTAGCCGATGGTGCAAGGACGGAGTTCCGTCTACCGGTAATATGGTCTTCGTCACCTTCCATTTTTTTCTTGGGACTGTTTTCGTCCGTTTTGCGATCTTTGTCATTAGATTTCAGTCCAATTCTACATGGACGACCTAGTTGGGGTCGGATCACTCTGGGATTTATGGTCGTTTACCATCCTTGCCCGGCGATCACAGTAGAATTTGACCTGTCTCATGTCTCGTTTGTGTGTTTTGTAAATGACATTCCAGCATTCGTTCTTGCCTGCCCATATGACAGTGCGGTCAAGAAGCGAACTCTTGCTGTAATGTGCGGCAAATCACGCGATTTCTGGACATTGTAAAAGCCAAAACGTGCCGGTTCTTTTTTACGTCCGCCCCCCTGTGTGCATTTTGGATTTGGTGTGTGAGCTGAATTGCTCCTTTTGTCATCCCATGATTCGGTACGGTGGGTACCGATGCAAAGTCGTCCATGAATGGACCCCACTTGCCAGTGGAAGGACGCCAGTTCCGCCCTCGGTAATAGGAGCCTTCTTCATATCTTTTGGTGCGTTTCATTCTTTCCATCCATTTCGAGTCGTAGTGTGCCGTTCGACATCGCTCCCATGGTTCGGGGTTAAATCACGGGATTTTATGGTAGTTCACCGCCAGGCGCAGTGTTTGGCGCCCTTTTTAATGATGCGCAGTGCGCAGGCGGGGTTCGGTTTGTTCGCACTCTTCGGCTCCTCGCTATTTCAGGGACACCCCAATATTTCTTACCTTAGAACAGCTGGGGCAGGTCGTCGTCGGTGGAGGAGAGTGCTCCGGACGACGTTTGGGGACGGACCCCAAGCTCCGCTGTGTTTCCATTTCCCACCTACGGCTTTTTTTTCCCGCGCTGGGGTTTCGGCAGGGGAAATTAATACTGTATGTGGGCGAAACCAAGGTGCCCTGCAAACGCAATTAATACCGCCCGTGGGCGAAACCAAAGCGCTGTAGCTTTCATTTTGCATCAGACAACCACGCTTGATCAAAGTCAAACGCATGTTTGCGGCAATTGCGATTGCGCAGTTTGGGGACTTCTGGTCCTGCCCACCTCGCATGTCAAACATCTCTTCTTTTTTTTATGGTCTCTTCTACAGAGATGACAACCGTTCATCCTGATCTGAAAATATGTGTGAATTCCATTTGCCAGTGGAGGATCACAGTGTACGCCCAACTGGGGGCAGCGGGGTACCGAATCCTGCCGCTCCAATATCGCATCCTCCTTGTTTTGTTTTTTGCACGTCGGTGCTACGCTTTTCTGGGTACTTCTTCGCCTGACACGTAGCAATATTAGGGTTTGGCAGTGGATCGTCATAGTGTACGCACACACCACCTGTGGCAGCAGGGTAACAAATCCCAGTGCTCCAATCCGCCAATGTTCCGAAATTCGGCAGGAATATTTTCGCCCACGTTGGGTGCTAGTCTTTTGTCCGTACTTGGTTGGCTGAGATGTCGGATCAGACGAGCAAAAAAAGATACGCAAGAGCAAAATTGTAACTTGCGAAGTCATGCCGTGTCCAAGCACGCTAGTTGCGAACATCTTCATGCCATCCCTATATTCCCACAAAGTTGCGTAGAATGAGGGTCGATGGCGTCCCATCCTCATTCTTCCCATTTTGACACGTCGAATCAGATAAGTAAAAAAGACTCTTAAGGAGCCGATATTGCAGATATGAGAATTGTAACTTGGAATCACGGCGGTTCCCAGCAACGCTACTTGCAAACATATTCGTGACCTGTTTGAGAGTCCGACGAATTTAAGTAGAATAAGGGCCTAAACTTGGCGTCCCCTCAATCTGTTTCCACAATGTTTTTGGGCGTCCAACTCGCGTGTACTTCATCATGTCGGTACTTAGATGTGGGTGGTTGGAGCCAACCGCCCGCTTTCCGTAGTGGGAATAGTGATGCATATCGCTTTTTTTCGAAAATTCCTTTTTTTTAACGCGATAATGGTTAATACCCCACCGCACATGAACTGAACATGAAGGATAGACGATACCAAGCGACTTGCTCTGACATGTAGTGGACAACTGCGCCCGCAGTTTCCGAGCTGGGCATCTCCCCCTGTTCCGGCCGGCCACCGGCGTTCTTTCAGGTCGCTGCCTACCTCGCAGATTCATCGGTGGACCCAATTCTTTCCCGCGGCACCCAAGTTTGATTTCTCCCCCATGTTTTG